CATGACATAAAACTGTAGATGTAAATATATAATAAATTATTTTTCTCCTTTTAGTTCATTAATTATTTTATGAGTTTTAAATACCTTTAACAACTTTTAAAAAAATTTTCCACTAGAACTATTTTTGTTTCAACAATTTCATATATACAGCTTAGAGTAAACATTGCTATTTAATCAGACACAGTGGATGCACTGAAAGAAATTTATACCTTTTTTTATAAAAACAAAATTAATGTCACCAAAATAAGCATACTTAGCACCACATTATCCTTAATTTGTTGCTTGACAGGAAATAATTGTGTCACACCATTTTGATTGGAAGAGTATTTTTTATGTTTTCAAATGCAGTTAAACTTGTACATATATCTTTATATACTTCTGTATCTCATACAAATTTTTTCCCCCCATACTGTTGTACCCCCAGAAAGTTATCAATACAATATGTTCACTAACACTTTAGCAAGTGGTTAAATGCACATCAGTCATATTGTTTATAAGAATTAAGTTAATCATGAAATGCAGTAATTTTACAAGCAGTTAATGCTTGTTCACCATATGAATAGGAACACAGTAGAAAAACTAGCTTACGCTAGCAGTCAAATCTGCTCTTGTGAGTGGGGCTTATGAAGCTGTAAGTCAATGTGGAATTAAATAGAAAAAATGATGTCATGCCATTGATGTGCATCCTGATCATTACAGGTACATTCAATGACACACATGAATGCATCAATGGCATTTCAGTGCTCTAAGGTCAAAGGACAGCAAAACAATAGTTGGCTTTCTGACAATCTGTGGTCTGCAGATGTTGCACTGTGCATGTGAATACTTTAGCTGTACAACACACTCACGTTTCTGACTCATGGTACACAATGTGGCTAGATAGTCCCTAAAAGGATGCAAATAAGATGTTGCTATTTTCTGGCATTGGTTTGTATGAGCCATTAAAGACCTTCCATGATACTCTCTGTACAGCCTTCCTGAACCTATCAACAGTAAAATTCTCACAACAACCTTGACTAACTTGAGCAGCAGTTACACAGTACAATAATGCACAGTTCCAATACGCAACAATCTTCCTCAAATAGAATTATGAGACAAGCTCTTTCATCTTACATAAAATAGAATACGATTTTCACTAAATAAATAAAGGATTTCTGAATGAAAACTGTTGCTGCTTCATGGCACTGATACTCTTGCCTGCAATATGTGCAAGCCATACAATGTTAAACATTTGCATGTCCCAGATGTTATATTCAGGGTTCGTATGTATTTCTGCACAAGGAAATTAAGTACTTTTAAGGACCATTAATGAAAAAAATTAAGGACCTATGAGCAAATGGGAACTGAATAAATTCAATTAAAAATATTATATCTATGCCTGAATGTGAGTAGCTTGCATTATTATTAAACATAACTTAATTAACATAATATTAATATTTTGAGAATAAAAATAATTTTATGAAATTATCAAGTAGCATAAATATTTACACTCATAATAACTGGACATATCTGAAAGAAAATAAGTGACATTTTACTAAGAGTTTGTGTCTCCTTTTGTCACACACTTGCTCAGTCTAGAGGTTTAGTAAGTAGATTTTATGTCAAGCAGCATAGGTTAAAATGAGCATTAAAATCATAATCAGCATGATTCATAACAAAAGACTGGCTGTTGTCACCGCTCCTGCTCGCCTATAGTAAGACCTGCTAATCAGAAGGCCTGATGTAGGCATAGTTAGCAAGTTTTGAAAGTTAGCTGACCACTGTCTGACGCTGTTAGTGTCATAGCTTCATGTAGAGTTCCAGGCGTTGTAACTCAGTTAATATAATTTAAGGTTCTATTAGGCCACTAAAGCATTAGTGATGATAAATTGTTTTGCATTAACCCTCTGGCTGCTCCTCCCGCGATTTCCACGGGCAACTCAAATGTAGCAAAATCGCTATCTGCGTTCCCGGGGCTTGTGTTTTTCTTCCTTTATTGATGAGCGCATCCCGTTTTTTCCCCATTTGACCACTGAAATAAATTATATACAGTATTAGACATTAGTTTACGTTTTGGACAATAAATATTGTTAGTTGTCTGCTAAATTGGGGCGAAGGCACGTGGTATTGCCGCTCAAACATGACATTTTGCCACTTTTTTCTTACAGAAATGGCCGCTCGATAACATTCAGCGATTATCTTGATTATTTAATTAAATTATTGAATTGTTAATTAGATTTTTGATTAGATTAATAACTAAATTGATTATTAATTAGATTTATTGAATCTTGTGCAAAAACTCTGAAGTTGGACTCTGCCCGTTTTGAACTCTATCATACTAAACTGCATTTTTAATGTATTTTTTTCCTCAGTGCTTTATATTTTCTTAAATTTTATAATTCTACCTTTTATATTATGCAATAAATAGAAATTAACTGTAATTCGACTGAAATTTATTTAAAAAAATTTTTTTGGTTATAACATTTAAAAATTGGTATTTCTGGCAACTTAGTTTCTCATGATAAAAATCTATATAAAAAATATTTTCTAGAAAGAAAAAATGCATTTTTCAATTCTCCAACATATATAGATTTAAAATTTGCAAATTACACAATTAAATTAAAAATTACACAATTTTTGAAGCGATTTCGGTCCCCAAATTGAGCAGTCAGAGGGTTAAGTCTCACTAGATGCAAAGAATAAGTTTCACATGAATTTTTATATTTTTGTGTTTTACCTTGTAACCATGGTAAAGGTTTAACACGTTGAGCGCGGCGCCGAATTTGCTGTCCTTTCTGTTCAACTGGTGGCAATATTGCGATCAAGTGGTGCAATATTACTTGCCGACTTAAATTATTCACAAATTATACAAAAAAGGAAGGAGACGCACATATAGACCAAAAGTATTGTTCGAAATGTTATAATGACAATTCAAAACTATTTGGATGCAAGATAGCCAAAAATGCTACCAAAATAGTTGTTTTGTATTGTAATATGTGTAAAGCTAAGCCATATTTTTGTTTAGAATGTTTCAATAAATTTCATTAAAACTACTTTTGATCACATTTCATTGAGACTATACTCATTTTTTAACTTTAATACTGTCGGTCCGGCGGACTGACGCCAGCCAAACGAAAATTTCAGAATAATATTTGTTAAAAAACCCTATTAATATCGCAATCTCATAAAATTTCACAGTTTAAAACACATGCAATTTATGACATTGATTTTTAAACAATATTAGTATAATTACACATTAAAACTCTACAAAAACATAAAAAACTCAACAAAATAATCATGCATCTTTTTAATTTGAAGGCCTGCCAGACATTTTGGCTAATTTATATCGATTTCCTTCTCCTTAAACATGTTTTCTAACAATTAGAAATTTATCTCAATATGCAAAACAATGTTCTCATTAGTTTCTGCATGTTTATCTCCCAACTGCCAACCTCTCCACAATGTACTACCTAGAGGGCTTACTTGATTGGTAAAAAGTTAAATAGTCCAACAACCCCCTACAGACGTGAAACAAATATCACTATGTCTGAAAGTAACTATAAATCAGATAATAAATTTAAATAAAGGTTTAAATAAGCTTCTTATTCAAAAAGAACTTGGAACATATAGGCCTGTTCTTATGCTAACAAAATCATTTACAGTTAGTTTGTGGTGATATAATTAAACAAGAAGAGTCAACTTCAAACTAAAATATGGACTAGTGGTCAAAGACTACAATTTAATTTCAATTTAATCTCGTTCAGTAACTCTATTTTCATAATAAACTCAAATGTCAGCAGCAGCAATGGAAAGTCTAATAATTACAAATTATCAGAGCTGACACAACTAATGCAGGGAGCAATTGGAGGTCAGAAACACACTTGTCTTATACTCCAGAAACCTTCATTTTATCACATTTTTCTGGAATCTTTTAGAGTCGCGAGTCTAAAAATCTGCCTTAAAAATCTTTCTAAACTTTCCAAGCTTCAATATCTAAAATCCTAAAGAAAAAATTACCCTACCAATTCTGTAACAGTAAAAAGTCAGAGATGGTTTTAAAAAAAATCAGAAGAAAAAAGTGTGAAATCAATTTTATAGAGAAAACTGATGCATTTTCTGAGAATTCTGCTCATTCTGAGAAATGGGAAAAATTCTTACCATGAAAAAATTAAAAAGACATTTTTAATTAATTACATAGCTATTTTGCTTTCGCTAAAAACTGTTTTGTTAACTGTGCTTTATAGCATTATTCCTTGCTTATTTTCAGATTCAAAAAATTGTATAATATGTGGCCAAAATGGAACTTTATACGACAAGTGAAAAATAAAAATGATTTATTTTAATATTATTTCTTAAATATAATTCCAATTTTACGCATTTTTAATGAAATTTAACAAAAAAATCGAAAAAATTAGATCTCGGAATTAAAAGTTTTTATAGAAACCGATCTTAAAATCGCCAAAATGTTGATAATCGCCAAATTTAGAGCCGTTTAATAAAAGAATTCACATGCCCAAAAGGGAGAAGTTGTTTGAGAGCTCTTCATTACAAAAAATGAAATAATTTTGAAATGCTTATGTTTCACTTCTTGTTCAGAAACTTGAGTATCCTACCATTATTTATATTACAAATAGGAAAAAATTATAACTCATAAACCCATTCATAAAATAGCCATATTTGTCAGTGAATCGCCAAAAATATTCCTGCAAAATGCTAATTCACACTCGAAAAAACAGACAGAAATTTCAGATGATTAAAATTAAGGACTTTTAAGGACCAAAAATCGATTCCAAAAAACTTAAGGACTTTTAAGGACTGACTCTTAAGAACCTTACGAACCCTGTATATTTTGCATGCAAATTTTTGATTGAGAGTGCACTTTCTTCATGGTATAAAAATTTTAAAAGCCAGCATTGTACGTGTTATTTCGTTGTTTAAATTGTTTTGAAATGCTTGAAAAATAGAAACATAATCAATAGAAATAAGCACCTATACAAAATCTATCAATAAATGACACAGACCTTTTTATGTCGTTTCCCTTCCATATGGGTTTGGAATGTAACTTCACTATTTAAATTGAGTTGACAAGCCTAAAAATACAAGAAAATAAAGTTCACAAAGAGGTTTTGCAAACAATAAAAAAAGGGCAAAATATATGCATTTACTTTATACTACACAAAACCATTAATGCATTAATCTTATTATATGGTTACCTCTACCTATGGTTAGTAAAAGTGACCTTCTAAAAGCAGGGCAACTTAACATATGGGAACGGATTTATAGATATAAAATTATGTCATAATACGGAGAAGAGAAGCAAGTATTTTGAAATAAATATTCACAATCAATTTGTAATTTTAAATATTCAACATATTTAATATATAAATTTAGTTAGTGCAATTACTATTTAATTAATGCAATTAATATATAAATAAATACAGTTTAAAAAACTACTAGGATATTTTCACTTAAATATAACACAGTACAGAAATATGAACTGACCATCAATTCATAATTTTAAATATTTAACATATAATTTAATAAATTAAATGCAATTAATTTTTAAATAAATACAATTCAAAAATTACTCGGACATTTTCATTTAAATACAACACAGCACAGAAATCTGAATTAATGTAAAAAACCCCATTAGAAGTTACTACAGTAGAAATCAGTCATGAAAAGTAATAAGTCTCCTATTAGAAACCGTATTAATGATGCTCACCTTGGGTCAGCGTTGAAAGTTATCACTGCAAACAAAATTTCTCCCGAAATAGGAAAGATAATAGCAGAGAAGAGATGTCAAGTATCAGGACATAAACATTAAATTTTTCTTGTTCTTTTCTATATAAATATATATATATATATGTTTATTATTGTATTATTCGAAATAAATCTACGTTTCTATGAATATTGATTTTTTTTTTTTTTTGCGCCCGCCTAAAGTTAAACCTTGTTTGTTTGGCCCAAGTGTACCTATGAGTTGACATCCCTGGTTATGGTAAACCAGTACGATGTTGGATGGAATATGACCAAAGCGAGAAAAGGAGAGAATTGAACTCTCAAGTCAAAGTGAACGTGAAATTTGAAATATAACGGATTGTTGTTGACTTCTAAATTAGTACTTGTTCGGCGTGTAATGGTATCATAACTTAACAATATTCAATACTATACTTTTCCACTCATTTTTCCCTGATACTTTTAATCTAAGCTTTAAATAAATATAAATCCAGGTTTTAACTAATTTATTACAGTACTTTCTGATTGCCTCCCCTTAGAGTGTATACAAGAGACAACACGCTATATTGCCAAAATAGGCTGTCCATATCATTGCCAAAATGTATTTATGTCACAACCCAAGTATGTATGCAGATGCAATAAAAAAGTGCCAATCTTAGTGTTTATTTTGGTTGCATAGTGTGGTTTTTGAATCATATTAGGAATGTGGAGTTTGCCAGTTGATGAAAAGGAAGCATTGCATTTTTTTAAAAATAGGAAGTTTTGACTAATATTAGAGAATGCAAAAATTCACAATATATGAAGTTATATTTTGTAAATGACTGAAATGGGTCAAAATTTATGCACTGATGCCGAAATTTGTGCAATTCTTTGATGTTTCTTTAAGTAAAAACAGTGCTATGTACATGGAAAAACAACTGTATGTGCAATTCCAAATTTTATGCAATTCTGATTACTTTTTAAGCAAAAGAAATGCACTGTGCAATGTGGAGAGCAAGAGTGTACACCATGGTATGTATGATGCCAAGTTTCTGTAATTTTTTTTTGGGGGGGTATGCATGTGTGTATGTTTAAAGTCATTATTGTGTGCATGGCTAGAACAAAGAAAAAATATAGTTAGTTATGGATGTTCCTTGTGTTTTAAATTTTGTTGATTGGTTTGCTGTTTTATGTAATTCTAAGTGTGGCCCCATGTCTTAGGATTGTTTTCCAAAAATTTATTTGCCAATGGTTGGCAACTTTACAGAAGGGGGCTATGGATAATCAGAAAGTACCTTTATTACCAATAAATATCTAAAGACAAATGGAACAAATTAAACAATTTTAAAACCAAACAAAATCTTCAAAACTAAATTTCTGACATGGAAAAAAGGTAATTTAATAATATATGAATACCTCACAAAAATAGCTACCAAAACCTCGATATACAGATTCTCCATCATCGTCATACACAGATCGAGCCCCTGACAGGCTACGTGATGATTCACCATACACTGAAGCATCCTCTGGGTAATATTTATATCTAGTTTTACTGCTGCATGGTGACCTTTCTCTTGGATATTTAATTTTTATTTTGCCACCTGAATCTGAATCACTTGATCTATATCTATGATGTTTCCTTTGTTTAGTTTTACTGCTGGATCGCAAATTTTCTTTCTTGTTTTTTTCATCTTCATTGGATTCATCATTGTGATTATCAGATCCGTACATAGACTGTTTCTTCGCATCCTCCACAAATCTTATAATGTCTTCTTTATTTATAGTTGGAGGTCTAAATAATCTACTTTTCTTTCTTAAAGACCCATCATGTTGCTCATCAGTTATTTCTAAATCATGTTTTCCATTCAGTTTTTCAGAATTTTCTTCACGAGTGCTTGATCCAGAAGCTTCTGAGATTATACTCTGATTTTCATCTTCATCTTCTAAAATAAAAATTTCATTATTTTAAAAATTAAAAACATAAATAAAAATAATTTTGATGGAATTTTTAAATTTAACAAATACACTTTTTTGGGATCAGTATAGATTTGCCTTAGTTTATTACAAATATTTCCATCTTAACTTTTTTTTTACTGCTGTATAGTGAAAAACAAGAAGACTTCTTAAAAAAAAAATCATGCCTTAATCAGGGTTCATAGCCACATTTTAGTTAAAAAAATAAGCACCTATAAGCACTTTAAGCACATTTAAAAAAAAAAAAAAGCACCTGTCCTAATACATTATACCAACTGCATACTTAAAAATTAGACTTGTAATTTAAATAGAGAAATGCCGTATTTATTAAGAGTGAAAGCATTACCTCAACCATGGAAAATAATTACTTCTTTTTTTTTTTTAATTTAAATAACAGTTTAATTTACAGAATTAGTTTACTATGAGAGAAAAAAACTATGCAGAACTAAACTATATACAAGATTTAATGATGAAATTCAGTTCAAAATAGAGAAAATAATAATAATAAGGCATATTTATTGTATTCGTTGAACCTAATAATAAATACAATTTATTTTCCCACTCATATTGTAATTTAAATCTAAATTCTGAACATTTTCTAATTTTCATGTATATCAGTTTTCCTTAACAGATATTGCAAGCAAAGTAATTTAAGTAAAAAAAGGAAATTCTGAAATCAGAAGACAGAAATTTGCTTCATGCAGTCATCCTTTAATCCTTTGACGTGCACGATATTATTTTTATAATTTTTTTAACTAAAAACTCTAGAAATTGAATATTATGATCCTAGAGACAAATAATATATGAATTAAAAAAATCTACTCTTTCCCATTGTTCTGTGGGTGGTGGTCGCACTGTGAAACCGAGCGTCTAGGACTTTACTGATGTAGTAGGGGAAAAAAACCTCCCATTTTGCACGCGCGTATCCAATAAATGACAAAATTTACGGATTTAAAAAAAAAATTATGTAAGAATTGCATTACATATAATTATTTTACAAAGTAAATCGTCAGAAAAAATTAAAAAATAAACATTTATATAATTTTTCTACAGCAGTGAAAATATAAGTACCTACATAATAAGGACATTTGGATAAATGGATTAAAAATCTCAATAAAATAAAAATTAAAAAGAACTGTTTTTGTTTTGTTTTGTTTTGTTTTTTTTTTTTTAATTTCAAATAACTTTTTTTTTTTTTTTTTTTTTTTGTGAAACTGTCAAGCATGTTTTGTCTCTTTGGTACATGCATATAGACCCACATTGCACATACATCTTGTTCTATGAGGTTTCTTCCTTGTGCTACAAAATATACACTGCCTGGGTTTAATTTCACTGGTATATGTCCAGCGTTATTTAGTTTCTTTTCATATGGCACATGAAATTTGTGGTTTTTATGTTAATGGGGAGGGGGGGGGGCTTGGTCTTTTTGGCTCTGTACGGATCGTTCGTTTCCCATTCAGACTTATTTTTTTCGTATTTCGTCCCAAAATATTCAGTAAATATTTTTAATTTAAATAAAACTTTTACGCAATTTCTATTTTTAATTACAGCAAAGTATATTTACATTAAATTTAAACCACAGGAAATAATTTATAAAATCACAATACTAGCTTGGGGAGCAAGTGTGTTGATGTCAGAGAAAAGTATTTGGAAAAGAAAGACCTTTTTACTGAGCAGGTGCATGTATTGTTTAGTAATAAAATAACTTTGTGGTTTCAAAGCTCTTTACCTATATGCGAGTAAAAATAAACATTCCTATTTGAAAAGCAAGCGAACGCCAGTGGTTTCAAGGCGCGACCACCGAGCCTCTAGAGGATTGTAAGCATTGTGACACAATGCTCTAGTGGTGCAGTGGTCGCGCCCTGAAACCACATAGCAAATGCCATACATATAGAGGTTTTTTTTTTATATATGCAGTTTAATTACTGCAATATTTTATTGTTTATGATAGAAATCATGATGTGCGATGACTAACTTTTGAAAATTAAAGTTGTTTATATTAATAAAAGAAAGTTATTTTGTGTCATCGAAAACGAATTTTAAAAGGCATCCGATCTGAAGTATTAATACCTAAAACATATATGATTCTACAGTCATTTTGTGTTATTTAGATGTAAAAGATCAGTAATCAATTCATTTTCACTCAAAAATTTCGGAAAAAAGAGGAGGACAAAAATTCGGAAAATGGTGGTTTCAGGGCGCGACCACCGCGCGTCAAAGGGTTAACAGTAAATCTTAACTAATCTGCATACTTGACAATTGGCGAATATTCGGACAGTCGAGCGTAACTTGAAAAAGAGGACTGCTACGAACCTGATGTCTGAATGTGGATGTAATGCTGTGGTTTGAGTTTTTTCTATTCAGAGAATTCTTACATAGTCCTATAACTATGGAAGATGTGAAGTTTGTTTCTTGGTTAGAATGAATGAGAAGAGGTACTTCAAATTGTGAAATCCAGTTTTCCACTGCGATTTTTGCAACAGATGAAGCTTCTTGATCAGGAATGGCATACGTTTCAAATCATTTACTAAAGTAGACCATGACAAATAGGATGTAAAAAAGGGGGGACAGTTCTATGTCACCAGTTCTACTGAGCCGATTAACGAAATTCAACTTGTGTTTTTCATGTCTCGAAAGTGCGACTTAGAATATGTATTAGATTTATATATAGCATTGTTCTAATATTAGTATTTTGACATAAAAGCGGACTTTTTCTGAAATGGCATGTCAATTTATTTCCATATTTCAATTCTACCACTCAAATTACGCCAAACTGACAAGTTCCGTAAAAATCGATCGGGAAGTTTTTAAAAAATTAGCTCTCAAAACTTTAGTTCCTCAATGTTAATTGAGTCTGGTATATATTTGTCTCTTTTTTTATTAAACTTATTTGATTCCTTCTTTCACATTTCAAAATTTAGATTCATTCAAAATAAAATTCGTCATTTTTTTATTCATTTTTAAAATTTGTACTTTTAAATAATTTTTATAAATTTTTCAAAAAAAATTTGAATTATAATCTGTAAAATTTATACCATCATCTTAAAGTAGATGTATTTTTAAGCATACCTGCAAAAAATTAACATTTTTTATTCAAAATTTCCGAAGATATATGTGAATTTTTATATTGGTGCATTTTGAAATTTGGCATATTTGTTGAAAGTGATAATAACATCAAATGTGGTTTAGGCACTTTATTAAAATTATTTGGAAGAACGATGTGACTCTTTTACTGGTCTTTCACAATGGAAGGGAAAGGAAAATGGGTTGCCATATATTAAGAAGTTCGCAAAGTTAATTATTCTTGGTGCAAACTGAAAAAAAGACGGCAAGATAAATTTGTGAATTTTTCCGTAAATTTCGCATCCCATTTTATAAAATTTAATATTTAGGTATAACTTGAATCGTAGAAACAAAATACAGAGAAAAATTGGCATGTTATTTCAGAAAAAGTCTGATTTTGTGTCAAAATACCCATGTTAGAACAATGCTATATATATTAATCTAATATATATCCTAAGTCGCACTTTTGAGACATGAAAAACGCAATTTGAATTTTATCAATCGGCCCAATAGAATGGGAGATACAGAAATGTCCTTTTTTTCGCAGTGAAGATGTTACACTTAGTTGTACAAGCTAAAAGTCTCAGAATTTCCAAAGCAATCTTCTCTAAACTGCAGCATTACAATCTTTCTCGTGTACATGTTTGCGGGTGTTTTTGAGCTCCACATGCACCACACAAGCATCCGTGAGTCCGGTAAGAAAAGCTGCTATTTGAAATGCTTTCCATTGTCAGCTTCTCATTTGTGGCAGAGTTCTCCATCTCGCAGATGAAGAGAATTCCACAAAGTTGAGTATCTTTCATTGTTTGACTAAAGGGTGCCATTTCTTGCTAACTAGGTTTCTCATTAATTGTTTCTATTAATTCCAGTAATGGCTTCAATTCAGGATCTTCTATTTGTGCCATTCTCAATTCTTTGCTGCTCCACAGATTAGTCTCTAATGTTAAGGAGTTTGCATTAACTTGTCTGACACTGTAACTTCAAAGCTATATTTTAATTTGGCTTTTGAACAGTGTCTACTTTTCTGCACAAGGTCTTCTTGAAAGTGCATCAGCATTTCCTACGTGATGTCGAATTTCCGGCCATAGACGTAATGGTGGAAATATTCTGCTGCATTTACAATGGCTAAGAACTCTTTCCTGCTAAAACAGTAATTTATTTCTGGTTTAAACAGACATTTACTAAAACAGGCAATGATGTACTCCTGGCCATCTATTTCTTATGAAAGAACAGCTCCAATTCATTTACTGCTGGGATCTGTATTGGGAATAAAACCATGTTCTCAATGGGGGATAAAGCAACACAGGGAAGCAAGCCAAAGCATCTTTGAGGGTTTTAAATGCTTTTTTGCACACATCAGTCCAAGAAAAATTTTGTTTTGTCTCTGTTAGGTGGCGTAAAGGCTTTGCAATTTGAAAGAAAAATTTGAGAAATCTTCGGTAGTAAGTGCAGAGGTCAAGAAAGCTTCTTAATTGATGAATGTCTTGAAGGTAACACCAGTCACCAACAGTTTTGATTTTTCAGGATCTGTGCATATATAATTAGCAGAGATAATAGGACCAAAATAGCTAACTTCTCAATGAAATCATTTACATTTCAAAGTCTGAGCTTCAAATTAGCTTTCAAGCTTCTGTAGCACTTTTCAAATGTTCTTCAAAAGTGCATCCAACAATAATAATCGTCAAGAGATACAAGGCATGCTTTGTATGAGAGTCCTTTCAGAAGTGTTTCCATTAGATGTTCATATGTTGCAGGAGTGTTCATATGTCACAACAGTGTTTTCAAAAAGCTTTAAATTGCCAGAGTCCTTGACTAGTAATAAATGCAATCTTCTCCCAATCTTGAGGGTCTGTTTCTTTTTGCTAATAGCCTCTCTTTAAAACTACAGTAGAAAACCATCTATTTCCTGTTAGCAAATCTATTGTCAATTCAAGGCAAAGGATTTTTCATAATGTTATTTAGATATCTATAGTTGATACAAAATCTTGTGGATTCATCTTTCTTCCAAACCAAGATAGCAGGTGATGCCCAAGATCTAGACAATGAATGGGTCGATAATGTCACTGTCCTGCATCTCCTTCATAAGCTCCCCAAACTTCCTCTTGTTTTGCTAATGAAAGATGCCAAAAATGTTACTTGATAGGTGAATAATTTCCAGTGTTGATTCGACATGACAAATTCGTGCAGAAAACTTCACTAGGTGATGTTGAGAAGACACCTTTAAATTCTTCTATTAAATGACTTGCAGCTTGAATTTGTTTAATTTAGTGCTTTCAAATAAATGTTTTAGTTCAGGTGGACTCTACATCTGATCAAAAGAACTTTACACAATACTTGTTACAGAAGAACATGAAGCAATTTTCTCTCCTTTCATAAGAGTGTGAGACTTGTCACTTATGTTGGCAATCCTGACATGCACACTCTTCTTTTGAAGTTCAGAAGTACAGCTGCAATTAAGAGTTTTTCTGAACGTGTACTCTCCTTTGGAAAATCAATAATCCCCATACATAACTTACGTGTTTTCACTACATTGCTAATGATGCATTTTATTTTCTTGGAGGCATGGTAATATTATCATGAGCAGTTATCCTATAGCAGCTCATTTCCTTTTCGTCTACTGCAAACAATGGTACTTCATCAGAGGTGTGCAATTCATTATTCTTCCCATCTAAACAAAATCTGTATTTCTTCCAAAAGTTAAGTATAAGGACGCATGGACTAGTTATATCAGTCACAAAGATAACATAGTCATAAAGATGCAAACTTGTGGTATTTCATTCTCTCCATTCATGGTTTGTAGATTCAAGGATGGAGTTTAACTATTAAACTGTATCAGCTCACGGAATAGTCACATTCACTCCAGTAACTACTATCATGCATGATCGAAAACTATTGATTTCTCCTTCCACGCACAATCTTGATCTCCACCATGAACAGAAGATATATGAAAAACATAGTTTCCCTGCTGCTCCATTTTTTTTCGTGTGTCTTTTTTAACTGGATGTGCATGGCATTGTTTTCATAGGTGCCTTTTTCCATTACAGTTCCAACAATTTTTTCCTTCCTTTTAGCATTACTCCATTTCATCTTGGAAACTTCCATGGCCTTCACTCTATCAATCAGTTCAACCATCGCTTTCAACATTTGTCTTCTGCACTGTTAACACTCCTTATAGGATCAATGTCTCTTCTACTGTTCTTCTGAGCCATCTCCACTTAATAGGCACAGAGTTCAAGGCATACAGCACACTTCAAACCAAATTTGTCTACTGCCTGGAGTGCTTGCTGTATTTCAGGATCCCTGATAACATCCACTCAGCACTGGACATTTAATGTGCTTTTTAATTTCCTGCCTGAAATCCAGAACTGCTTGCTGTATTAACTTTTCAGTAACAGTGGCCAGTTCTCAAAGGATCTCTCCTGCTTTCTGCTACCGAATCTAAAGTTGCAGTCAGTGATAATTCTTATGGAATATTTCTCCAAACCACAATTTTAGTGCATTCATTAAGGTGTCAATATCTACACATTAAAGTGTCAATATCCAAACATATTTCAAGTAGTAGCATCTCTAGGATGTCCCCTGCTTCTCCCCATAAACACACTGCCAGATTTAATGCCTCTGTGAGAGGATATCACCAATATGCCTGAGAAATCATTTGAATTGCCTTCTATATACATTCCATGACAACTTCCCGTCATATGGTGAGAGCTTAATTGTCGGATGAGATAACTGGGCCCTAATGTTATTAAAAGCAGGATAAACTGAAACATTTAAAGTACATTGAGTTGGCACATTATTTATGGATGAAAATGGTTCTGCAGTTCTTCATTCTAGTCTTAGAATATTGTTACAAAATGTACAGGTGCGGTAAATTGGCTTCCCCGCAAAGCAGTTTTAGGGTTGTCATAAAATAGCAAGGCAGTGTTGCCATATTTGGCAAAAAATCACCAATTTAGCAACATTTGGCGATATGCCATGGACAGATAGAGAACCTTCTGGAATGAATTCTTACCAGTTTAACCCAAAATGTTCTCGAATACAAGCCGAAAGCTATATAAACCCTGCTGGTCTGCAGTCAGCGAGTGTCTTGCCTAGCAAGCTGATAAAGAGTGTGTGCCTCGTCTAGAGTGCGAGAGAGTTAGTATCGAGTCGGTGTCTTGTCTAGCGAGTCAACCCTGCGGAATCAATTGAGTTGACAGCCGGGCAGCGAGCCAAGTGGATCGTCGAGTGCACAGAAAGAGTCTCGTAGTGTATCTTGGTTAGTGCATCGTCGAGAAAGCATGCTGAGCTGCGGGAACAACTGAACCAAAGACTCGGGAGCTGTGCTCTGTGTGTCATCGAGAATTGTAGCGTGGAGAGTCTCGAGAGTACTTGGAGTTCCGAGAACGACCAAGCAGAGTCGGGAGCTGTACTCTAGTGCTTTGCCCTGAAGCTGCCTCCTCCGTGATAGCCTGATAACCTGGAGGCGTGTCGCTGATCGTGTTTATAGTAGTTCATCGATGACTGTAAAAATGTGTTTTGGAGCTCTGCTGACAATGCTGGCCAATAAAGTGTGTTTCAGTACTTCATCAAGTGTTGTCGTTATTCACACCAATCCACACGAACCCCGTACGAACATGAAGGAAGAAGATAACGTTAATAACTGGTGTCAGAAGTGGGATTTGTGAGTGAATAGCCAGTGACCCGCCTGCAGAGGAAAGCCATGGAGGAAGAAACGAAGTCTTTGATGGACCTTTTAGCCGAATTGAAAGCCGGACAGGAAGAGATGAAAGCTGAAATCAAAGCCGCACTGAAAGAGATGAAAGCTGGACTGGAAGAGAAGAAAGCCTGGCGAGAAGAAATAAATGTCGGCCAAGAAAAGGTGTGAGAGCAACTCCAACTGATGAAAGTGGAGCTTACAGAAGAAACTGGAGCCATAAAAGACGATGTGGATATGAGAGAAGTGGCTTCCGAAGAATCAAAGGATGAAGAAATGAAGAAAGTAGCTAATAAACTGTCTGAGGAAGATCAAGAAATGAAAGATGAAACAACTAACAAGATTAAAGATAAAGAACGAAAACATGAAGAAATAAAAGACGGGAAAGTTGATTTTAATTCTCAATTTCCTGAAGTGGAAGAAAGTGAAAATATGATTGTTAAGTTTGTCGAAACTGACAGTGAAGTTATGAAGTCGCAGTTCACGAATATTGAACTATCTGAAAATGCATGATGCAGAGATGACAGAAGTTGATGTGTAGCTTAAGCAGTGTGCTCCAGAATTGAGGGATTGGTCTGGTTTGTTTTAGTTACGGCAAAGCCTCGAGGGCTATCTGCCTAAGGGGAGGGATACCTTCATGGAGGACTTTCTAAAGGAAACTGGCTCGTATACACGTTACACATGGGGAAAACCACGAAAACGCCCATGCAGCCAGCCCGTACACGGGATTCGAACCTCGAACCGAACTACCAGCGTTCAGCGACCTTTACCGCTCGGCCGTCGGTGGGCTCAGAATTGTGGGAAATTTCACTCATTTCGCAAACTACGTGTATGTCTTATAGTGCAGATTTTTCAGACAAGGAATTGATTCTGAACCTGGATACTTCTGCTTGTAATGGATGGGATTCTATTTGCGACCCTGCTGCAAAAATCGGAATTATTTCCCAGGAAACGGAGGAAAATAAGCATGTACCAATTGCTAAAAATACTGAAGTGAAATGTACGCATGCTGTGAATGAACTACAGAGTGGTGAACAAACTGTCTCAGATCTACCTGTGGATGACAAGTCTGAAAGGACTGAAACTTCAAACTGTGATATGCAAAACAAAAATGGAGTGGAAAAGCATTTGGCCCAGGTATATTTTAATGAAAAGACTGAGACTAAAATTCTTTCTGAACTTTCATTTGTATAATTTAAAATTGTTATGTGTTTAATTTGTGTAACTTGTATACAGCGTAAATATTTGTTTCTTTGGTTACGTTATCTGTATGTTTTATTATCTTTTGTTTGTATCGAACTTGGCTTCTGACCAAGGGTTGTACTGCATGGAACATGCAAGTCCTTGGGAGGGGGCAGTGTTACTAAATGTACAGGTAATATTTATAACAACATAATTTCATAATTGTAGAAATCATTATACAAAATCAATCACTAAGTACACATAGTGGATGAACTTGGCATGCAAAGTAGTGAAGATGCAAACTTAGATCTAATGTGTTATTTTGCATGAACATGCTACTATAAAAGTTCATATTTTTTCTTCAAGAAGAAAATATGAACACTCTAGCTCAATTAGACAAGTGCGTCATGCCTAAGTTTTATATGGAATATTAACATAACTATGCTCCATGTATTTAAAATTGAAAAATTCAATTAGTAAATTCCTTTTTCATTCTTGAACCTGCACAAGTTTCTAAAGTATTACATAACTGGTATATAAGGTTACATAAAAATTAAAAAAAAAAAACAGCTAAGTTCTTGAATGACCTACCTGAACTACTGCTTACAGTGAAACGATAATTTTCAACATCACGTATTACCTAAATTAAAAAACAAATTCAAATGTCATTAGTATAATTAAGCTAACATAATTATACATTAAAAATTACTTATATGAAAATCTATATAAAAACAAACACTGATTTTTCATGAATATATATAAATGCATATGCTGTAGCACTGATTACATTCTAAAATTTTCTTAAAATGTAAATAAGTACAGGAAGAATAGATTACAAGGATTATTCAGGGGTATTTGTTTCCCATAACCGAATTCAGATATATATTTTTATAAAATAAAACCCAGTGAGTTGTTGCATTATGATAATATATATTAAAAGGATCAATGTTTGTTCACAAGTGTATCTGTAAGCATAAAATATTTATCCCCTTTTCATGAAATTGCATAATAAGAGAAACACATTTAAGTATTGTAAGAGTAATACAGTACAAAGTCCGAAATCTGGATGTCCAATATCCAGAACTGGTTTTCCCTTACAGAATAAGGAAATTCAGAATAAAAGGTTAAAAAAAAAGTCTGCCGTAAATGCAATTATTTCATAATAACCAAGATTCTAACGCCTGCCCATCGGAGAAGGCGTTCTCTGTGGTGCCGGGAACACCGGAATTGGAGAGACGATGAATGGGGATGAGTACTCTTTACAGATGAGAGCAGATTCAGTCTGAGTAGCGATTCCAATCGCATACTCGTCTGGAGAGAGCAGGGAAGCCGCAATCATCCCTCGAACATCATTGAATGGGACAGGTATGGAGGTGGCAGTGTTCTCGTTTGGGGAGGCATCATGCTTGGTAGTCGTACAGACCTTCACATCTTCGACGCAGGTTCAGTCACCGGGACCCGTTATTGTAACGAGATTCTTCTTCCATATGTGCGTCTTTTTAGAGACGCTATGGGTCCGCAGTTCCTTTTCATGAACGACAATGCACCATGTCATCGCACAGTAGCTGCCGAACAGCTCTTAGAGAGTAAGGATATTGAACGTATGGATTGGCCGGCACGATCTCCAGATCTCAATCCCATCAAGCATGTATGGGATTTTCTAGGCAGACGCTTGGCAGCTCGTACCTTACCACCAGTAACGATTCCGGAACTTCGATTGGCGCTGCAAGACGAATGGGCAGCAATGCCTCAACAACTCATTGACACCCTCATTCTCAGCATGGGCAGACGCTGTGAAACCTGCCTAGCAGTCAGGGGAGATCATATCCCCTATTAAAGACCGGATGTTTCTTGCTGGACACCCCATCACAGGGATGTTTCGGCCTTCAGTCGCATTGCGCTCCGTGCTACTTTTTCAAAAAAGCTTCTTTTTATCCCTCTGATTTCTCTTTTAGTAAGTGTTGCTTACATTACTCATGTCCTTACGTATTGGGGATCTTACGGTATTAAATGTGTTGATTTGCAAAGCTTTTGTAAAAAGTTATATTGAAAAAACCGTCTCGTCCTTAATTTTTGCACACCAATGTAATTACTATATCATTGTAATTACAATACATATTTATGCATATGAATCACCAGATTTTCCTGTTCTGTTCAAAAATTTGTAATGGCATTTTAATTTCGCAATTTTTTCCCTTTCCTTTTTTTACAGTGTTCGCACACATTGCACACGGAAATTAAGTACTTTTAAGGACTTTTAAGGACCATTCATGAAAAAATTAAGGACCTATAAGCAAATGGGAACTGAATAAATTCAATTAAAATATTATCTATGCTGAACTTCACCTTTGTAATACCATCCTATAAATAAAATAGATCCATAAGTAGGATGCATTAGTATTAAATATAATTATTGTAAGTTTGAGAATAAAATAAAGTTTATGAAATTTATCATTAAATATTTTACACTAATACTAACTGGACATATTTTGAAAGAAGATAAGTGACATTTTATTTAGGTTTTACTAACAGTTAGCTTTGATTTTTTTTTTTTTTTTTTAACGTCTCATTTTGTCACACACTTGCTCACTCTATGAGTTTAGTAAATAGTAAGTAGATTTTATGTCAAGTGGCATAGGTTAACGTGAGAAGTAAAATCACAATCAGCATTATTCAAAACAAAAGACTGGCTGTTGTCGCCGTTCCCACTTGCCTAGGAGAGTCCTGATGATCAGAACAAACCTCAAGGCCTGATGTAAGCACGGTTCGCATTTTCGAAAGTTAGCTGAGATCTGTCTGACGCAGTTAGTGTCATAGCTTCTTGCAGAGTTTCAGGGATTGTAACTCAGTTAATATAGTTTAAGGTCCTATTAATCCACTAAAGCACCAGAGGTGACAAGTTGTTTTGCATTATTTTAAGTCTCACTGGATGCGAAGAATAGGTTTTACATGAATTTTTACATTTTTGTGTTTTATCTTGTGACCACGATAAGGGTTAATGAAAGGCAATAACCCGCTTTAAAATGCAGAGATAATCTTTAAAGGTAACCAGTTAGTTATAAGTAATTAAATTGGGTATTAGATAACCTTAGTCATTATGGATTTACATGGCCACTATTAAATTTTATTTATTTTTTAACAATATTTGTTAAAAAAGCCTTATTAAATCACAAACAATCTAATAAAATTTTACAGTTTAAAGTACATGTAATTTATTGATTCTTAAAAATATTAGGATAATTACACATTAAAAGCTACAAAATATTTATATTTTTTAGCAATACTCAACAAGATATTTATGCGTCTTTTTAATTTGAAGCCTTCCCAGATATTTTGGCTAATTTATATCAATTTCATTCTCTTTAAGCATCTTTTCTAACAATTAGAAATTTGTCTCAATACACAACGACAGTGTTCTCACTAGTTTCTGCGTGTTTTATCTCCTAAGCTTGTCAACCTGTCCACAATGTACTATGAGGGTTTACTTGATCTGGTAAAAGCTTAAATAGTCCAAAACACATCCGGAACAGATGTGAAGCAAATTATCGCTATGTCTGAAAGTAACTACAAAGTCCGACAAAGGTTTAAATAAGACTCTTATTTAAAAAGAACTTAAAAAACATAACGGCATGTGCTTATGCTAACAAAATCAATTACAGCTCGTAGTGAAGTAATGAAACAAGAAGAGTCAAATTCAAACTAAAAATTATGGACTTAGTGATCAAAGACTATATAATTTCATTTCATTTTAGGCTGCCTCGAGTAACTCTATCATCATAACAAACTAAAATGTTGGCAACTTTAATGTAAAGACGAATAATTACAAATTGTCAGAGCTGGCAAAAACTAATGCAGAGAGCAAGTGGAGGTCAGAAACACACTCTTGTCTTACACTCCAAAAACCTCAGTTTTAAAAACTTTTAAGTGATTTGCATTCTGGTGAGAAAATAGAAATGGGAAATTATAGTATAAAGCTGCTGAAATTGTAAACAACTAGGTAATTTACATAATATATATCTGTACATATCTTTGAAGAATAATTTTCCTTTCTCTTAATTATACAGTTTTTTTTTCTTCCACGTTTACTTTTCATTTTGAATTTTTGGATTTAATTAAAGATTTCTGTTATTCTAAAAATACTAAATGCATTTAGAATGTATAGAGAAAGCTGCTAATTTTATAGTAATAGGAACATTCGGAAGAAATATGCAATATATATGGTAAGGTCCAGCTACAGAGCTGGTGTGGCAGAATTTATTCACACATTGAGCAACAAAATCTAGAAATGTCAAAACTTTTAGAATTTAGAACAGGCAATGGAAGCAAAATTTACAAAGGCATAGTTTATGATGCATTAAGACATATTAGATGAATCATTTAAATTGTCATTTTCAATTTCTTTATTAATAAAAAATTTATTTTCTATAATGCCTGTCCATATGATAAGATTAGAAGCATTTTTGATATTTTATGCTTGGGTCTAGTGAATAATAAAGAAAATAGAGGGAAGATAAAAATGTTAGGAAAACGATTCTAGTATCAGAACTAAAACATTCAATTATTATGTTTTTATTGCTCTTCCATATGTTCTCCAAAAAGTAAGAAATTATGTATTAATACCATGGAGACATTTTTCATTTTGCCACATTTTTCTGGAATCTTCCAGAATAGTGGGTCTATAAATCTTGCCTTCAAATCTTTCTAAACTTTCTAAGCTGCAATGTCTAAATCCTAAAGAAAAATTACCCTGCCAATTCAGTAACAGCAAAAAGCCAGAAATATATATTTTTTTAAATCGGATAAAAAATGTGTAAAATTAATTTTATAGAGAAAACTGACGCATATTCTGAGACAATTACATGAGGAAACTCTTACCAGGAAAAAATTAAAAAGAAATTTTTAATTAATTACATAGCTATTTTGCTTTTGCTAAGAACCGTTTCGTAAATTGTGCTTTATAGCATTATACCTTGCTTATTTTTCAGATTCAAAATATTGTATAAAAAGTGGCCAAAATGAAACTTTATAATACGACATCAAAAATAAAAATGCTTTATTTTAATGTTATTTCTTAAATGTAATTACAATATATTACCATTATTTAAATGAAACTTATCAATGTTACAATGTTTTAAAAAAATCGTCGAAAAATTCCCAGATCTCAGAATTAAAAATTTTCTATAGAAACTTATCTTAAAATCGCCAAATGTTGATAAGTCGCCAAATTTAGAGCAATTTAATAAAAGAATTCACATCCCCAAAAGTGAAAAGTTGTTTAAGAGCTCTTCACTAGAAAAAATGAAATAATTTCAAATGCTTTATGTTTCACACTTGCTCAGAAACTCTATCCCACCCTTTATATTAGAAATAGGAACAAATTATAACCATGAACGCATTCACCCATTCAAAAGATAACGATATTTGTCAGAGAACTGCTAAAAATATTCCTCCAAAACGCTAATTCACACTCAAAATGGCAGTCGTAAAAACAGTCAGAAATTTCAGATGATTAAAAATTAAGGACCTTCTGACAATTTTGGCCGAAATTAAGGACTTTTAAGAACCAAAAATTGATTCCAAAAAACTTAAGGACTATTAAGGACTCTTAAGGACCGTACGAACCCCGTTTTAACATTATTG